TTAATTAATCAATTTCCATGTTTTGAATTTTAAAACAAATTTCAGTTTTTTACAATTTGAGTAATGTAAAGCAAAACAGTTTCAAAAATTGTGTCTACAAATATTATAATAAAATTTTTAAGAACATAAATCATACAACTTTAAATATAAATTGTATATGAATGAATGAATTTTTTATTTTTTTTATTGTACACCACAGGCGTGTTACTATGTCAATTGTAATACATAAATACATTATTTAAATAAAGAAAACTAAAGAATAAAATATAAATTTTATAATATATTTAATATAAATTTTTTGTTTAAATTTTAATTGATATTTCCCTACAGTTGTGATTTTTTTTTATAAAGTTTCTTAGTAAACATGGTTAATAATCAAACTGGATTACCATTACTGTATGTAAATAAAGATAGAAATATCTATAATAGATCAGTACTGATTGCATAAGTGACGAATTAAAATTAAAGAACACTATAGAAACATCATAAGCATATACGTTTTGTACTATTTTTTGTGTGTTAACAAAAAGTAATTCAAGTGACGCAACTCCCGATTTTAATAGCTAGTCATAAAATTTAAGAGTCTTAATTTATTCTGCTCATCAACACTTTTTCAGCTCGTGAAAGCTCCGTTGGTATAAAATAACCCTTTTAAAATCTCTCCCACACTCGGAGTAATGAGCACTTCTCCTTTTAACTCTTACCTTTGAAGTGTTAAAATCCACAAAGCTGTTGTGGCAACTTTTGTTGGTGCACTTCCCTAGAAGCTGCAACTAGGCAATTAGGCTCCAAAGGAGTGAATAAATGACACAAAAGCAGTGAGTCAGATTTCATGCTCTGAAAGAGACGCGCGACAACTTGCTTGTCTTCTTGTTTGCGCACCTTGACACAAAATTCAAAACTGAATTGCCGCGGTGTATATCACAACTTCCTGTTGCATCTCCTCAGCTCTGCCGTAGTTAAGCAAATTTGTTTATTTTTTATGGCTCTTTTTGCAACACGCAGGAATGCGGCTGACTTAATCGCAATAATTGGATTTGGACAGTGAAAGTGCAGCTCAAAATTGGATGCATTTAGATTCATCAAATAACGGTGTGTTTGTATTATTATTTGCGGTATCTGCAATTTCTAGATAATTGATCTGACGCAATATAATTCTATAATCGACCGCAGAATCTTTTTTCGGCTTGATTACTCATTATAAAAATTTCGCCGATGCCCGGCGAGCACGTAGGCGTTTTTATGTTTCTCTTGATAAACTCCTTCCTTAATGAACTATCTGCAAAAATAAGCCAAGTTGTTGAGAAATTGGCCGGCTGAAGCCGAAAAAAGCTGGATCGACGACGTGAAATTAAAATGGAAAGCACAGCCAGCGTATCTGAAACTAATTAAACGGCTGTTTACTCTATCAAGCTGACAACAACGCTTTTTTCGGCCAGCGCTCTTTTGAAATGAAGAAATTATCTCTTGCCCGCCGCGAGAGCGAGATGTATAATTGCTAAATTTCTTCTTGCAGCTCAAGTGCAGGCGTCAATTACGTAACTTGAGAAGTGCAGTTGCGGAAATGTCAGTTTTTATTCTGTTCAATTGCGTCTGCCTCTGTAGAAAGGGACCCAATTATTTACTGGTTGTTCACAATTTTTAATTGAAAAACAAATTTTCTTTGATAGGTTAATTTAAGTTTTTGATGGTCAGCCTAAAAATAAACAAGAATTAATTAATTTTTTTAATGTTAATTAAAAAGATTTAAATTAATTCACATGGAGTAGCATTGAAATACAAAAAAAAAAGAATGAATTGCAAAGACTGATTTTTGAAATTAAATTTTGAACATCCACTATTGGGCTGCATTCCCCTTTATGATTATTTTAAATTTAAAAATCTAACATTTTATGAGATGCAAAAACATAATTTCACAAAAACCGAAAAATCAAGTAAATGAGAATTAAATTTTATCTTAATAATTGCAATCCGTGCATGTGCGCATTCCTGAACCTTTATTGATTTTTATCTTTCATATCAATTTTTTCCCAATTTTAAAATCATTTATCAAAGAGTTCAGACGAAGAGACACTTATCTGTCAACCGTGGAATTCGCTTTAAGGAGTTGTACTCGTGATAAATTACATTTTTCAAGAGAAAGGGCGAGATTCTTTATGCGAAAGCCGAGATTGATTTGAAACTATGTGGTGGCAATTTCGCTGGAATTACAAGAAGAGAAGATGAACTCGTTTTGTTTTTCATAATGAAAATTCCGACTTCTTGAGTGACTGCTGCCGTTCCAGGCCGCGCTGCTGTTTGTTTTTGTAATAAAACTATATACACATTTCTCATGAATATTCTATGCGCGAGTGAGCGACGCCAGACTCGAAACACGTCTTTAAGCCGCCGACTACATCAGTACACTTAGCACGGCGGATTATCAAGTATTCTGGGCGAGTGTCGTCCAACTTGGCTGTCCGTCCAGACTCTCAATCCAGACATGGTTTGCACGTTGTAATTGAGCCAAATTACCGCAAATTCACAACAAACTTTCTTTTAAATTTAAACCCACATCGGTTAATTACACGCCCAAATCGAATGAGAATAAGTTTGTCAACCGAGAAAAAACAGAAAGTATTTAAATCTGGAGACAATGGCGGTGACATCAAAATAACTAGACCTAGCGAAATCTGAGTTGGGTAGAGAAATGAATGGAAATAAAGCACAATCCAACGCCGCGGGTAAAATAATTCTGAAGGCCTCCAGTCATGCGCGAAATTCGCTCAAGCCATTGCAATTTCGCATTATCCACACCCGAACCAAAAAATGTCAATGTTCCACTCTTCAAAGCAGCAAAACCTCTATACCTTCTTATTGAAAATCAATTTTGCAGACGCAGAAAAATTATCCCAACAAAGAAAATAGTATTTTGTAATTTTTTATACTTACCAATTATTACTTTCACGGTTTCGATTTAGGTGAATTATATTTTCGTGAGGTCCAGCAGCCTGTGGCGTGCAATTCACAGTTGGGAAATAGATCTTGGTGGGTCGGACCGACATTCAATTTCGATTTTGAGCAATATCTCGCTGAGACATGTGTTTTATTGTCCTCTGGTGTTTCCTTTCGATACATACAAAAATATAAGAGGCCTCTCACTTTTTCACCTGCTCTCATTGTTACCTGCACCTATTATTTAACGTGTTCACTCGCAAGACAGAGTTGCCGGCAGGCAAATTTTATAAATAATGGAGTAGCAATATAAAGTTTACTGCTCACTCGGCGTATAATAAATTTGTAAGAAACGCGAAATGCATGCACTTTCCTCAGCAACACATTTTGCCACATTCAAGTTACACACACACTTGTCGCCTCTGTTAACGCAATTATATTCGCCATGCGTGCAGACACTGCATTAATTGCCACAATATTTTATTTGAACACAATAAAGGAGGCTTTCCCTATTCATGTTGTTTGATAAATACCGGCCTTTCATATGGTGCATGCAGCGAATCTCCCGGAGCTCTCGGGGAAACATGGGCGAGGTTGCTTGATAAACATACTAATCATCGCTGCCGTTACGGGATAAATAATTATTGAAAATTGCTTCATTTCTTCTGCCGGCGAAATCGAGATGCAGTAATTGGGCAAATTAATCCAATTTTGTACCCAATAAAATTGTAAATTCCTTAAGTATCTCACCAAAAATGGGTCTAAAATTATAGTGCAGACAAAATTTCCGTCTTAAATTACATTAAACAAAATAGAGATTATATTTTAATGGTATTAAAGTATTAAATACGTAATACTTTATAAAGTTTTATATATTTATCTTATTATTAAACATTTAATTTACTTTATTATGATATAAACAAATTGCTGATATATTTTGTGAGAGTAAATTTCAGTTATCTTAAATATGTAATTCTTGCGCATCTGATCCTTTAATAATATTCATTAAATTTCCTTCTGAAAAAATTCTATTTTGGTATATCAATCTAGCTTTCTTTGCTGTTTATCTAATTTTCTACCAAAGACAACAATGGTACGCCTGATTAAGCCGGCTAGAAAGGTAGACCTCCCTGCACCCACGCGCTATATCAATTGCATTTTGCACACAGAACAAAAGTGATTAATTACGTTCCCTTGCGAAAAACAGCGCGCTATGAACGTGGGATCGAGAGCTGGGTGCCGAGGTGTGAATGGCGCGAGAGCAAACACGGACGAGCCGTGGGAAATCGGAGGAAAAAATGTATCCGATCGCGCAATCGAGCGGCTAAACGCGCTCATTGCACGATTGCCTCACCTCACGCTCTTGCAGGTTAAAGGCAGAAGGGCATTGCAAACGGAAGTCGAAACAATTGGAAAGTCGCTTAAACTGTCGGTTTTTGTCACTCTGCCGACAAGTGAAAGGCTAAAATTGGCCATTAACTTTTTTGACTGACCGTGTCAGGCAGCTCTAATTGGACGCAAGAAAAGTCTATCCTTCGCTAGTTCGAAAGAGAAGAGAAAAAAAAATGTTTTGAAAAGAGTTAATTCATTTCCTTATATATTGTTAAATTTGCCCCAAAAAACCTTTAAAATTAAATTATCAAGTTTGTACATTTCTTTCAGCTGAAAAAATTCTAAAATCAACTGCAAACTGTTTAAGTTTGAATGTGTGAAAGGGAATCAACCATTCAAAAATCTTTGAATTTCTGATTTAAATTTTCTGTAAAAAAGTCAGTCGTTTAAATTCTTCCTTCTAAAATAATTGAATGCAAATTGTCAAATAAATAATTTAAAAACAAATCTAAATTTAAGATTTATACTCTTTTTTAACGAAAAAACAGTTATAATAGTAATTAAAATTGAAGTTTCTGAAAAAATTTATTATTTTTTGCAACCGTTCAGTTATTGATCATCCTTCTTCCTGCAAAACAGAACTTAAAACCTAGAAATTAGTGAATTTTATAATTCAAAAATTAACGTAGCTTTTATAACAAATTCTAATGATATTCTATTCTCTATAATTTCAGAAGCTAATGGTGCCAAATCAGACTTGTCAACCTCTGCTTCGTGGTGGAACGGCCACGAAAGCGGCGGCGCCGACTTCTTCAGCGGCGGCGGCGGCGGCGGCCACGGTTTGGTGCAAAACCACCCCCTGGGCAGCGGCCCCAGTGCCATCGGTGGCCTCTCGACGGGCTTCAGCGGCAGCGCGGGAGGGTCAGGATTCGGTTTCGGACCCAGTTCGCACTTCGGTTACGATCCTCTGACCGGCGTCGGTGAAGAGGCCAACGAACTGCAGAAGAACCCCGCTCTGTCCTCACCCGAAGAGTGCGCCAGGGCGTGCAGGGACGGCGAACCTCCCCGCACCTGCTACTTCAAGCTGGTCGCTGAAAACTACATGACCCTTGGCGCGTGAGTGCACAAAATGTTTTTAATTTTTTGTTTGTTATTTTGATTCAATTAATTTTGCTTTTAAATTTCTTATTTATTTTTATTTTTTACTGGAATTAAAAAAAGGAAGAAAATCACTGCCCTCTTTTTTTTTGTAAATTTACAAATACAATTAAATAATTTATTGTTCTATTTGAAATGAAATAATTAATTTTAGTAAATTGTAAGTGATATAATAAAAGTAAGCCTGATTTTAATTCATCATTTCCTAGGCAACTTTAAAAAAAAAACTGTTTTTTTTCTTATCAGGGCTTGTGCTCTCTGTGCACCAAACGCAACAAACGGCTGCCAGTGTGTTTTGGCTGACGGAGTTGAACGCGGCATTCTGACCCTCAACAGGCAGATTCCTGCTCCCTCCATCCAGGTACGCGAATTGCTTAAAATCAATAATACGCGAAACTAATAAGGTGTGATTTTGAAGGTCTGCGAAGGCGACAGGGTCATCATTGACGTTGACAACCGCATGCAGGGAATTGAATTGGCCATCCATTGGCACGGTCTGCACCAACGCGGAACTCAGTACTACGATGGTGTTCCTATGCTCACGCAATGTCCCATACCTGAAGGAACCACCTTCAGGTACCAGTGGAATGCTGACAACCCAGGCACACATTTCTACCATGCACACACAGGCAAGCAAGAAATTAGAAATAAAATACGGTTAACCTCTATTTAAGGGCTCCTTATTGCAATTAAATAAATAATTAATTTCACACAAACCTATTCATTGCGTTGAATGAGTTTTTTATGCGATTAAATATTATACCTCCTAATATTACCACAAATGCGTCTGTTCTTCACAATCAGTTTAATTTTACTTTTTTTAATCTTTTTTTTTAAATTCCTTAATAATTAAATGTTAGAAATAAAAAATGTTTTAATAATTTCACTCTGATAGGAACCCAAAAGTTGGACGGTCTGCAGGGCAGCATTGTGGTGCGGTCGACGCCAGCGCGTGATCTGCACAGCCACCTGTACGACTTTGACCTGACCAACCACGTGATGATGATCCAGGACTGGATGCACGAGGACTCGACCGAACGCTTCCCCGGACGTCTGCAGGTGCGTCCCGGCCAGGATCCCGACACCATCCTGATCAACGGCCGCGGCCAGTTCCGCGACCCGCAGACCGGCCTGATGACCAACACCCCCCTCGAGGTGTTCACCGTGACCCCGGGGCGCCGGTACCGCTTCCGCCTGATCAACGCCTTCTGCACCGTGTGCCCCGCCCAGCTGACCATTGAAGGTCACCCGCTGACCGTGATCGCTTCGGACGGCGAGCCGGTGCAGCCCACCCCTGTCAACACCATCATCTCCTTCACCGGCGAGCGCTACGACTTTGTCATCAACGCTGACCAGCCGGTGGGCGCCTACTGGATTCAGGTCAGGGGTCTGGGCGAGTGCGGCATCTCCAGGGTGCAGCAGCTCGGCATCCTGCGCTACGCCAGGGGCCCTTACGACCCCGTCAACCGCGCCCCCTCCTACGACTTCGGCCTGCCCCAGGGGGTGGTGCTCAACCCGCTGGACGCCGTTTGCAACACCCAGCGCTCTGACGCCATCTGCGTGTCCAACCTGAAGAACGCGCAGGAGGTCGAGGAGGCCATTCTGCAGCAGCACCCTGACGTCAAGATCTTCCTGCCCTTCCGATTCCTCTTCCTCACCCCCGAACAGGCTTTCAGACGCAATGCCTACAACAGATTCCTTGGTAAATATTTTTACAAAAATTATTATAATTTTACTTCTTATTAATACTGTATTCATTTTACTATTGAATTTTTTCATTTCTTTGCCACAAAAAACGTGATAAGGAAAGAAAAAGAGGAAAAATGCAATACATTCATTTGTCTTCATAAAAGTAGACAAAATTAAAAATAAACTAAAAATTTAATTCAGTTTTTAATTAATAACATGTTATTTTTTAAAAGAAAATTGATCTTAATCAAGTGTTTTTTATTTTATTTATTTAAATCAAATTTCTCTGTAAAAAGAAAAAAAATCGCATTTTCAATTAAAGTAGAAAAAAATTAATTCATTTTTATGATTTTAGTTGCTCCCACTGGTGATCACGTCGTGTCTTTGGTGGACAACATTTCTTTTGTCTTCCCCAAGTCGCCTCCTCTTAGCCAGCCTGAGGACATTCCTCCCCAGCAGTACTGCAACGGTGACGACAGACCTCCTCAGTGCGGAGCTAACTGCATGTGCACTCACAACGTGGACATTCCCCTCAATGCCATTGTTGAAGTTGTGCTTGTCGATGAAGGTAATTTCTTTTTCAAAATTATAAATTTTGATATTTTATGAAATTTTGTTTGTCACATTTGTTAAAATTTGTTTTAAATAATATTGTAACAAAAATTTAGTTCTAAAATTTTCTGCTTAATTACATATGTACATATTAAAAAGTTGAGTCATAAATTGTGCGTGGCGTCGCTGTTCGTGAAAGACGTGCGTCTTCTGAGAGGAAATGAGTTGGTTGGCGTGCGACTACTGTTTTCCTACTGCTCAGGTAATTGACAGATCAGTTGGTTGCCAGTGGTCACACGACCTCCGAACTCCCATCGACTGCATACTTCAGCAACCAGCGCTTCGAAACAACAGACTGAAATTATTTATTGTTTTATGAGGTTTTGGGCCATGAATAATTGAAATATTTTAATTAAGCACTTGTTGAATTGAATCATAAAAAGTAAAAGTTTTGTCTCATTTGCATGTTTTTAATTAATAAACTATCATGAATATTTTATAATGTTTCCTTGTTTTGAAATGTTTTGGAGTGAGAAATTAAATTATTTTTTATTTAAATTGGCCTCGCCAGTTCGTGTCTTAATTAATTTTTGAATTTTCCTGTGCTTTCAGTCCAACAACCCAATTTGAGCCACCCCTTCCATTTGCACGGCTACTCCTTCAACGTGGTGGGCATTGGCCGCTCGCCCGACTCCACCATCAAGAAGATCAACTTGAAGCACGCTCTCGACCTGGACAGGCAGGGTCTGCTGCACCGTCAGTTCAACCACCCTCCTGCCAAGGACACCATCGCTGTGCCCAACAATGGCTACGTCATTCTCCGCTTCAGAGCTGATAACCCTGGTAAGTTTTAAAATTAATTTTTATTAATTTTTTTATTGATTCCTATCTTTTTGCAGGATTCTGGCTTTTCCACTGTCACTTCCTCTATCACATAATGATAGGCATGAACCTAGTGTTACACGTAGGCAACCAGGCCGACCTGCCCCCGGTGCCGCCCAACTTCCCTCGATGTGGCGATCACTTACCTCCCATTCAATTGGCTCACTAGCCACTTGCCTCCCCCGTAATTAGCTGAGAGATTTCAATTTTTGATACTACTTATATTTTAATATTTGTAATAATATGCTGTGTCCTATTGGCTTGTAATTTCGTGTTTTCCACCCCGGGGCGCTCAATCATAGTCAATCAACTTCGCCCATTTTCATTCATTTCTCATCAAATCATTCATCAATTCATCTCATAAAAAATCATGTCCATCGTCATCATCCTCATCCTCGCCACACTTTCATTATCATTTCATAAACTCCCATATCTTTATCTACATTTTGCCGCATTTTTCATTTCATTATTTTATCTCATGAAATTCACATTCCATTCTCATTTACATTACAAAAATTATTTTCATCTTTCACCCATCGCATCATTAACAATCACAATCATTTCCATAATTTCATCATTTTCATTGATTCATTTTATCATCCCATTGCACCATACATTATCATTGTGCCATCATTTCATTCAAACGTGGACAGAGAAATCTGTTCCTCGTCGCTCTCATTATTTTCATTGTTACCATTATTATTCATTTTTGCGTGTTCACATTTTGCCATTTCACACATCACCATCAATTATTCCATCCGCATCTCATCCCCATTAAATCACCTCGTTTTTGCACCCTCTCATTCATCACTCACTTTGATAACGCGTGCGCCCTATATAATTACGCATTATTAGACGCACACGCACACATCATCAATCCCATCCTTCATCACCATCAATTCTCACACTTTTTCATTCACATCAATTTTTCATATTCACTCAGACACAACATTCATCTTCATTTTCACGCCATCCTTTTCATCTCATCACTCAAACTAATTAGGTTTTTTTCATTTTTAAATTTATTTTCATTTCTCACTTCTACATCTTCATCAATTCACACATTCTCTCGCTCTCATTTCATCAATTTCATTATTTCACGTTCTCCATCATTTTCACTTTCCCATCATTTCATTTTCATCCTCAATCATTTCATTTTTAGTCATTTTCATCGTCATCTCATAGCTCATCCACATTACACCTCATATTTTTTCATATTTTTTTTCGCACTGCATTCATACCTCATTTTTTCCATTTTCATAAAACCCACACCAACTTCATAGATGTCATTTTCAAGTCATTTCCTCCGCATTTCCATCAGTCATTACATCATTACACGCGCACACCTCATTTTCCCTCATCTCGTGATTTTCCATTATCATATTCATCTCATTTTTGCTTCATCATTTACATTTTTTCATCTATATTTGAGACTCCGTGGTGGGAATCCCCCTTTAATTTAGACTTTTGTTGAATATTTATTGGCCGGAGACAGATTTGGAAAAAAAAAACTCCAATGCGTGCCGGAACTTTGTAGAGCTCGCGTCTCAAACGACGGAGCGAATTTTGTACTTTTCAAATTTGGTGATATACTTAAAAGGAAACTGCATGTTGTGTGTAATTTTAGCTCAAATTTGTCATCTGATGCGCCATTTAAGTGATTTATTTTGTAATAATATTGTATTGTATATATTTTTTCCATTTCACTTATTCGTCATTGCGAGAAATTTGCATAAATGCATAAGGTCCTCCTTCTCAATTCTGAACGTCATCCTCATCATTTTTCACCCCCCATCATGTCACCAAACAGATTTGAGCTGGTTCATCTTACCTGTATTAGTATGGTTTTTTTGTTTAAACTTTAAAACGTTCATTATAATATTCTCAAGACCCACTCATCAGTAACCATCACTTTTCGTAGCCATCCCCTTACTTTAGTGAAGCCGCATCGCCAATTATCGCCACATCTTGTTTCACACTCATCGTCATCTCTCATCTTTTCATCTTGTTGCTTTGTTATAAAAAGTCATTCGTCTTATTGTATTTTCTATTTTCGTACACTTCTCATACTTTTCTTCTTTCAATAAACAATATTGTTATGCTGTATACAATAATTGCTATGATTTGTTTTATTTTCGGAAAATGACATTGGTTAAAAGTTTAGAAAAAAAATCACAAAATCAACCGGGAGTTAAAATAAAAAAGAAATTAATTATATAAAAAAAAATGTTATATGAGAGAGGAAACGTGAATGAAGCGCAGCTAGCCAAAAGTTTATAAATTTTGCACTGCATTGATATCTCCCGCACACTAGTACTGCAATTTGCATTTTGGAGATTATCTAAAGAGTACTAGTAATTAAGACTAACACAGTTATTAGCTGACATAAAAATGTAAAGTAACTATTAAAATGGTATAAATTTGAATTATAAATTTCTATTATATTATTAGAATATAAAAATGTTTCATGCACAACATTCAAATAGTGGGTTATTTAGCGACATTCTCATAATAAAATATAATAACTTTGCTGGTAAATCTGCGCACATTAAATTTCTGTCAAGCACATAAACAAGCAAGAAAGATGTTAGTATGAAAAAAATAAAAAATAAATTATATATAATGTTAGCATGTTATTTTTTGAAAGTTATTTGATATTTAAAAACGTTTGTTTAAAAAAAGTCCAAAATTAATATTTTCATTTAAAAATTGCTAGGTTAAATTTTTTCACGTAGGTTTTAATTTTATGTTTAAATTATTAACAAAAAAAAAAACGATCATTTCTTTATCTAAAAACAACTCAAGCAATTAATGTGTTTGGTCAGTTTTTATAATGACAGATTGAACCAGTACGAACATTGAAGTAAATATTTTCAAATGATCATCTGAATTAATTATTGATATTTATTCCATATTTATTCTACTCAAATCATACAAGAAACCAAGACAAAGGAGGCTCACTGTGCATTATCAATCACGTGGATTTACCGCCAAAATCGAGCAAACGCATTGATAGTTCGCGAGGATTGGCAGCACCTGCTTGGAACACATGCCGCTGTTTTGCCGGCGTAGTTAGTGGGGTGTGCACGCGAGTGTGAAAAAAGCAGCCGGCCGAATTTGAACGTGCATAACTCTGAAAACATTTCCCTCGGTGCTTTTTATTGTTTGTCCAAGTGTTTGTTTCGCGTTTTCCTATGATGGTGTTCGTCAAGAACGTCCAAGGCACTCTTCTAGTCGTCGGTAAGTGAAAAGGCCTCCATCGATTGCTAGGGCTTTGGTTGTTGAATCTTCATTTCCTCTGCACAAACTCGATTATTTATTTCTGTCCGTCTCAAGCGACTCCCTCAATTTAATTTTTGTTTGCACATATTTAATTGATGCAAATCAGCTCTGAAATGCTCACTTTAAAGTAAATTTTGATGCGAGAAATAGATTCCTTTTTTGTATTTACAAAATATGATAAATAAATACACTAAATTTAATTAAAATATAATAATAATATATCTCACAATAGTCACAATAAATCACAAAAAACGATAAACATTAAATTATTTTATCAACAGATTTGTTTATAAAATCTAATGGCAGAATGTGAAAGTAGAATACTTTGTTGAAAATAATTTATCCAACACAGTTAAATTTATGCAATTTTTTTTCTCACATTAATCGCACCTTGCAAGCTTTGTATTTAATGAATGCAGACATTTTAAATTATTATTACTGAAAATATTAATACTGATTAATATTAATTGAAAAAAAAAATTGAAAAATACTCTCATTTCTTTTAGCAATATTTGTAGCGTGCATCAGCGCCAAAACAGCCAAAGTTGTCAACAAAAATACAAGAGCTAATTTAAAAACAGCAAACAATGAAACCAAGAAAGCTCTAAACTCGACTAGCAGGGCCGAAAGAAATTATCTCAACCCTTTGCTAACTTTAACAACACCGTCAGATTGCGACCTGACTCCAAACTATTGTGATTTGAACTGCTGCTCTGACAAGGTGATATAATTTTGCATATTTCGAAGTAAAAAAAAATGCCAAAAATGAAAATAATATTTTTTAGGACTGCAGCGTAATTCAAAGAGAGGCTTTTGAGTGCGAACAAAAAGAAACAGCCGATTCGAAACACAACTTTTGGAGCTGCAGAGAAAAAACCAACCTTTCCTCTTGGCATCCGTTCATTTGCTACATAACTGACAATTCGCCCTTTCTTGGCCGCCACTTTCTCGCGCCTCCCGAACAAATTAACGAAAACAACAAATTTTTAAAGCTTGCCGACGCCACCCAGCAATTCGCAAATGATCACCCTGCAAAAGCAAAAGTCGATCCTCCAGTTTACAAATTCGGGTTTAAGATGAAAATTTTGCCAAACAACAATTCCGAAGATCATTTTTTTCTGCCCACTAAAGTGCCTGGCTCGAATTTCTGTCTTTTAGACAAGCCCGTGCGCTTTTTGATAAACGAAAATACTGTTTGTCTGAGGGAGTTGTCTGCAGACTCGTGCGCTAATTACCCGATTTCTGTTGATAAATTTTTGGAGAGGGTAATTGGCAACACAGGACAGGCTTTGGAAACTGCAAATATCACTAATAATTTTATGTGTTTAAACAAACGAGGTGAAAATTTTGTCCGAATTCAGAAAAGAGATAATAGGGTAATTGACTATTATTCAAAAGATGGGATCAAAGAGAAATTTGAGCCTTGTACTGATATACTATTCACAAATTCCTTTTTCGATCCGCGCACGGGCATTTGTTACAACGCTCTGATCAGCGCCGAATATAGAATAACGTGGAATGGAACAAATATCACATCTGTCAACGCCACTTTTAAACTAGCAGACGTTTCAATTAAGATGTACGAAAAAACAGATTCGAAAACGCCGAAATTTTTCCTCAGCCAGACATTCAGTTTTGCGTTTGAACACTGGAAAGCGAATTTGCATGAAATGAATGAGAGTCAAAATAGTACAAATGAAGTGGAGGAACCAAAGAGTAATAATTTGCCCAAAATTGAGCGATCTGGAAACCCAGGATATTTGGATGGAAAGCCTTTGATTATTGGAACACTATTGAACAGGTTGGACGTAAAATCAGTTTATTTTTTTTCAAACATATTATTTCCTTTTATTTACACCATTAAATGTTTTAAATACATTTCAATACAATTCATATAACATAAAATTATATTATATAATTAATATTTAATGAGGTGAAATGTTTTAAATTTTTGTCCATCATCATCAATTTCCAATTTTTATTTCAATATTGAATCTTCTTTCATTGCTGCTGATTGCTACTATTTAATTTTTTTTATGAATTTTTGAGACATCCAAACAACAGTTTTATAAATATTTTGCTTTTAAAAACTTCGAAAAAAGATCACCCTTTAAATTACTATTTTAAATCTTCAATATTGTATAAAGAAACTTCACGTGTGTCTTTTTCAACTTAAATCCGTCCTTAAAAAATTGTCTTGTTTAGGAATTTTTCCCCCCGTCTTGTATCATTTCATTCAATATTAAATATTTATACTTTTTATTTTAACAGTTTGTAACATTTTTGCGATTGTTTTTCAGCACAACAGATGGTGGCAACGAGACGCTTGAATGGGAGGATGGCTACCTCAACCTGTTGTTCTCCAATCTTGGTGAGTACTCGGTTCTAATCTTTCCATTATTTTTTTGCGATAAATCCGAACTCGGCAAAGTTAGAGCTGCGAAGCGCTACTGATAGAGTTAAAAGAGTCGTTGTCGTTGATTGCGTTGACGCTAGCATTGCTATCGGGCAGACTGCCGGCGTCGTCGATGTTGTTGTCGGCACAGGCAGGGCCGGAAGGCTCGATTTCGCCGTTATCCACCTTCCTGAGCCACTCTCGAAACCTGAAGGCGACCAAACTGACCTTGGACGCCTTGACCACCGACACGTAGCTCGGGTCGCTGCGAATCGAAACGCCGTCGCCCTCGGCGTTTTGCCCCTTCTTGCACTGCTTTTTGGCCGGCTTGGGCATGACAACCGCCTCCGTGTTGGAAGTGCGAACTTTGACCACGCGGCTGCTCAGGGCCAGCAGGGTGGGTTTTTGCCAAGCGGCGCAAATGACCGCGCCTGCGCCGACCAGGGCGCAGAGAATGGCGATCGCCACAGACACGGACACCCACACCGGCATCTGCTTGTTTAAAATCCACGGTCTGGCCTCCCAGGGCGGCTGCGTGGTCAGACCCTGGCACTGCGAGGGTGAAACGATTTCCATCCCTTCGAACAGACAAAAAACATAGGCCACGTCTCGGCTCAGGTTTCCCACAAAATGCTCCGGCCTTTTGATGTCCCTGTCGCACTTCAAATCTTGGCCGTTTGAGTGCCAAGCCAGAGTGAGTCCTCCCTGATCCACCCCTATGCGCACGACAACTTCCGCCGGCCCTGTGTCTTTGCTCCTCTCCTGAATTTCAAATTTCTGCTCGGGCTGAATTTCAGATTGGCTCAAAATTGGATACTTTATTTGAGCAAGGGTGCATTGGAACTTTGGCGTTTCAGTTGTGGTGGTCGCAGTTGTGGTGCCCACGGATGTTGTTTCGGTCTGAGGGATGCAATCGATTTTTAGCGGAGGTGGAATTTCGATTTCCGGGCACGAACTGTTCATGTCGGCCTCCATCAGGTGCTTCCCTGCCTCCGACTCGGGGGCCTTGCACAGAGGGTTGTCACCTGGACCAAGGTTAAAAGAATGTAGAGGGCTTTTGAGTAGGTCTTGCAGCCATTTCAAATGGCAATCACACTCCCAGTGATTTCCTGTAATCAGCAAAAACAAAAATTCAAACTGAAGATTTAATTTGCTGTTATTAATTAATACTTTATAATATGCATTTACATAATAACCTTTAAATAACGTAACTTGAGATGCACAAAAAAGGCTAAATTGTAAAATTAAAAACGGGGCGTGATTTAGAATTTTAAATAAATTTTTTTAATTAGGCTATTTTGATTAAAATGATTCATCATGCAGTATGCTGTAGAAAAATGCGGAAAAATGCACACAACATAAATTGGAGGAATGCAAAATAAAGAGTTCTTATTTTTTCTTTAGCGTTAGAAACTAACTATTATAAATATAAATAAAATAAATGAAACAGCTGCACCCGTATGAATTTTAAATTTGCTGTGGGTTAAGTTGAAATATTATGTTATTGTAAATAATGTATTCTTACTTAATATCTTGGAAATAATTACCTGCCAAAAAAAGTGTCACTGAACTTTGCATATCCACCATTGTTTGGAAAGTCCTATTTGGAAGTGTTTTAAGAAGGTTGTCAGCCAAATTCAGCAAAGTCAAACTTCCAGATATTTCATTGAAAGTGTCAGAATCGATTGTTTCAATGGCAGATTCTTGCAGATACAAAGACTCGACATTCCAGATCGCAGACAGCGTGTCTTTTCCTAAATGTTTAAAACCTGCTGGCCCAGGAAAGTTGAACCTCAGATCAACCAAAATTAGGCTGTTGAAAGGATCCTGGCACGCTCCAATCATACTCGCCACAATTTGTTCAGATTCAAAGCCGCCTTGTAGCTGCAAAATCTAAAATTTAATATTAAAAATTGTGCAATTTTGATGAGAAAAAATTATAACCTCAATTGACGATTTGATTGTCTCGAAAAAATCATCATCGACCTGTTGAATCACGCCATTTCCCCATAAATTAAATGCATTTAAAGAGGTCAGGCCATTGTTCATGCCGCTTTTCAATTTGGTAAAGGCTGAATTTTGAGACAAAGTCAATATTTTCAAACTACCGCCAAACGGAAACTCGGCAAATGCTCCCGATTCGATTTGATTCAGACCAGGACAATTCTGAATTTCTAGGTGATATATTGCGGGTAAAATTTCTCCATCGCCCACTTGAAACCAATCAGCTGCAATCTTGTAATTTGGAAAAACTGCAGATTTGATCAGCAATTTCCACTTTGCAGCACATTCGTTCTAAATCAAAGACAATTTACCACTCACAAATTATACATTTAATTTGAATTTTACTGAATGAAGTGTGTTCAGGCCTATCAAATTTTGCTTAATCGCTTCCCCAGGCGGGACGCCACTTTCGGAAGTGCGGAAATTTTGGCAAAGCACGGTGCACCCCGTGCGGTTTTCGCCAATATTGATGGTGCAGCTGTCAAAGTCTGAGGCCGGTTTGAATCCAGAAGTCTGCGGTGGATTTGGCGTCGTGTTGCACTTTGAATGGCAACCGCCAGTGCTGTACAGGTCTTGCGGGATGGCCACAAGGACGATAGTAATCAAGATTAGCAAACCGGCACTCACGCCGGCCACATACAAGCTCACCCGGTGGTGTTTGCTCTCATCCTCGCTGCCCACCGTGAACAAACTGAACAGAAAAATTAATTGCTCCTCAAGAATTACAGAAAAAAATCACCTCTCTTTGCTCTGTCGAATGCTGGCACTCATTTCTAGACAGATTCGCAAATGAAATGCCAAATTTACTCGGCTTGGCTAAAAAGGCCATATGCCACCCCTGCTTCAACCCTTATCGACGCAATCAGTAGCGATTAACTTGTCAAAGTGTAGCTTATTTGCGGTCTATCTCTGCTGAGAGCCCCGGCTAAATGCCTCTGTGAGTGAGAGACCCTTCAAAATATTATTTGCCACGCAGATTTCTAACCGTCAGAATTCTCAAAAATAAATTACTTGCCAATTAAAACTGAAGCAGCAAATTAAAAATAAAATTTAAAAAAAACTTTGTAAAGATGGCTTCCCGTAATTTATTTAGACATTCATTCTAGGAATTTGACTAGTTTGAAAGATGACAAAGATTAATGGTAATATCTTTATGACAGGCTTTATTTTTTATGGTCCAGGAACCAAAATGTGTTGGTTAATATACCATCAGATAAGTTCATAAGATTTTATGGATGATCCTTAGTCACTGGGAATCTTCAATTTAACAAAATTTTATATAAGAAATAAGCAATTGTAATGATTTTTTCAATGAAACGTTTATTATTCGAATAGAATAGCATTGATTTTTGTATTTAGTTGAATAAAGGACAGACTATAACAACATTCTTGTTAAAAAGTTTATGCTGTTGTTAATAACTTATATAATTAATTTTAAGTACTATTGCAAAAGTTTCTTGCTATTTTTTAATCACATTTTAAATATTAATTAATTTTGCTAAATTATTAATTGTCAATATAAATAAACATTTGATTTTATTTATTATTTTCATCATTTATAACAAACGTATGTAAGATATTATTTTGTTTTTTGTTTCAAAATTCTTAATTTTATTTAAACTTTAGTTCAATATATGTGTAATGTTATTTAAGCTTTTGTAGCATTTTGTTACCTCTCAGATCCATCTTGACTTGTACAGTATAAATAAATAATAATTAATCCGAATATAATTTCAATGACAAATGACATGGTTGTAAAATTTCTAATACACATAATTTCTTAAAGTCCTAGCTTAGCAAGTCGCTGATTTCAAAACGAAGCAGCAGGCAAAGGAAATTCAGTTTATAAATTTTGGAAATGAAACACGCCACGTTAGTCTTTACAATTACCTTTATTTCGTTTTAAGCGCACAACAGATATAAATTCTTGATTGCTCAAGTAAAATACACGATTAATTCCATAGTATGTGTGTGTAATATCAAGACGCATGGTACGCAGCTCTTAAAATTATTACTTCCCGTGTATAGAGTATTGTATAATGTAAATATAAACACGTATATTCACACAAAGGATATGCATCAATGTCAAATTAGTGAATTGTGGTGCTTTTCCTCCCTCCATTGAGACGAAATCGCGCGTTTGGCGTCCGCAAGGGCCGACCATTGTCTGACTTTGGCGCGCGACAGGTGGAAGGAAATCAACCCTCGTGGAAACGGGGTGCGCGATTTCACCGGCCGGAGGAGGCGAGCTTTGATCAGTTTTACAGTGGATATGTATTTCATTGTGGTCGATGGTTTGAGGGTCAAGAAACCCTCGGCACCAAAACGCTAGACACACTAACAACTACACTCAAACTAACTACCACCTATTCCTACACACGTCTACAATTATTTCTACACTGAAAACTACACCGAAAACTATATTTGTAATTATTTCTATATCATAATGACTAACTTACTTTTGTGGCAATGATAATTAAATTAAATTTCAATCGTCAATTCCGCGCAACTTCAAAGTCTTTTGAGTGGTGTTCCAACCTTTTGAAATCCTATTCACGCCAAATCGGCCCTGGCCGAACTTAAATAGATTATTAAATTATGGATATTTAATTTATTTAAAATGATAAGAAAATCCTCTGCCATGGAACAATGGTAACTTACAATACACGTTGCTCTATTAAATGTATCCTTAAGTTTAATTTCGTGTTTGGTTCAACAGCGTCGTCTCGGGCGAGACGAAAGTGATATGTTTCAAAAAGACATCCAAAATGCGACGTGTGTGAGAAAAAACGTTCCACATACACATTGATATGTATTTTAGTTTTCTGATATGCGATTAAGGTCTTTTCAGTGATATGTTTGTAGAGATTTGGTTTTTTGTTTTGCGGTTAGCGTGTGTACATGTATAGTGAGAGCTGGTTCAGAAAACTAAGGGACAGGTCATGGTGGCCGCCCAAGTGAGGGTGGCCAACGCCCCCAGAGAATCGGAGCCGGACGAGAGACGCTCCAGATTTTTGCCCACACAATTCATGCGGTCGAGCGGCAGGTTTTTCAAATTGTACTCGTGGCGCTCGCGAGTCAGGATGCACATGGTCTTCTTCTTCTGCATGATCTCGTCGTCCTTGCCGCGGAGTCTTCTCAGCCAGTCCATGTACCACGTCAGCTCGCACGTGCATTCCAAGGGGTTGTCTGTAAATTTACAACAACAAAAATACATTGTGTCTTATCTTTACTTAATAATTTATATTTTTAAGTTAAAAGTATAAAAAAACATATGTTTTTAAATAATTAATTTAAACTTGTTTTTATTTTATATTAAAAATTTTATTTTTTTGTTGCATTTTGTCTATATAATAGTTTTTTTATAACATTTGTACCCGTTAAAAACATATTAAATTTAAAATAATTACCGGTATTTAATATTTCTAAATTATAAAAAATTTGCGCATCTTCATAATGGCTAAGTAATTCCCTAAAGAGAAGATTTCTACTAGTTTTGCTGTGATCTTAGCTTGCATTTAACATTACAAGAACCTGTAACCTTACATTATAATATGTATGATAAAGTTATTTCAACATATATTAATTTATCAAAACAAAACTGATATTTTTACATACCAGAGACGTCCAAATTTCTCAGCGTGTCCATGATTGGCTCCATCACTTCTTCCGACAAGCGATCCATCTTGTTATGTTGCAAGTTGAGTTGCTCCAGGGAATTCAAGTTCTCAAAAGTCAGCGCCGGCAAAGTTTTAATGCTGAAACGAAAGAGGGACAATTACTCTACCTGAGAAAAAACAAGCATAAGCGAACGTGCAATAATTCTCTGCACGAATAGTTAAATTACTTTTTTTGCTTTCAAACCCACTCTTTTTCTATGTATTAAAATGCCAATGAAAAATGTGCAAATTTGCCAAGTGCGAAAGATTTTTGCTTTTTACTGAGGTGGTAAATTGAAGCGGAGCTTATTTTGGAGCAGGATTGAAGCGCCAGCAAAGTGCTTTATTCGGTTGATGGCGAGCGCCGCATTTCCCTCCCTTTTATACATCAACTGCGAGCACGTCGATGAATTTCAAAAACTGTGTATGCTCTTCATTTAAACTAATTAGTTTGGTAGCGTGATTTCAGTTCACAGTAAATCGAAAATTCGGGCGCATCTGCCTGAACAAATTTTGTGTCAGATTTTCCATCAAAAATCATTTAAATTTTCATGCCCTCATAAATAATTCACTAACTGATTGATACCCTTTAATGTGAATCATGCACTGACCACAGAAGGGAGATGAAATTTATTTGATCATGAATTCTATATTATACAAAATTGTTATTTACATAATTATACATTAATTGATTTTTGCTTACATTTTGACACATTATATTTAAGCCTGATATTAAATAACTTTATATTTCCAAAAAAATTATTAATAATAATTATTAAACATTAAGAAATATAATCAAATTTTTCACTTCAAAGTAAATTTTTTTTCCGAATTTACTCAAATCATAATATTAAGTTATAAGAACGGTTTTATTAGCAAAATTTTCTCCTTACTCGTTCTTCTGCAAGTTGAGGAAAGTGATGGAGTCCCCGAATCCAACAAAGGCGTCTTCCGCCACCACGGTGATGTTGTTAGACCGCAGGTCCAGGTGTCTGAGTCTGTGCAGCGACCTGAGCGCATCACTCGGAATTTCGTGCATGTTGTTGTCGCCCAGACGCAGGTACTGCAAATTCTCTGCGCGACAAACGGGGTTAATTAGGCAGTCATAAAAGTGAGTGTTGTTGTGTCTGGCGTTGTTTTGTAATGGGCGGCAGTTTAAAACGCGCAGTTAATTGTGTTTGGGGAGCAATTATTATGAGAAACATAGAGAGCAGTCGACTATTGATTGGGCTTATCACGTGATGCATATATATATCGGGGGTGAGTGAGGCCAACTAAAAATAAATATACGCAATCTCACTGTGTGCATGTCGTTTGGGACCCAGATTTCCATTTAATCGCGCGCGCGAACAGAACAATCGTTATCAGGCTGCTCTTTGTAAAAGCAATAAATTCAAAGTTGCGAATGGGCAAACTTACCTTCGAGTCCCATGAAGGCGTCGGCATCGAGCCGACTGATGCCGTTTCCATCCAACTCGAGGGAATTCAACTTGACAAGGGAGGCAAATGCTCGGGCTGGGATTACCCTCAAGTGGTTGTGTGCCAAGACAAGCGAGTCGAGGTTACCAAGACCTGAAATTTATATCAATTATTTATCCGGAATTTTGTTCCATTAGCTTCTTCAAAGAGTATTTTATAGATTTATTAATTTGCACAAAATAGCCAGTTCAACAATGAGTGGTGAATAATTTTATCTTTTATCTATAAAAGCAACCTGTTTTACTTAGGAGACCAGCTAGTTGCATTATTCTTCAACTCTCAACACATTATTTGCAAAGTTTTTCCCTTTTCTACGAGGCGCAAGCAGAGGTCGTTCCAATTCTCATGCAAATGCAGGTCGATAAATCTTTGTGCTCACCTTCGAAGTCGCCCTCATTAATCTCGGTGATTTTATTCTCGGGCAGCTCCAGCTTATGCAAATTCTCCAGAATGGAAAGCGCCGCTGTGGGCACCGAGTTCAAGTCGTTGCCTCCCAAATTCAATCGGCGCAGTTTCCTGCCAGCGACGTGAAAAGAAGTAAGAAAAAAAAACTCTAAATTGGCTTCTTACTTTTCCAAGCCCTTGAACGCGTCCGCGTCAATGTTGCTGATCCTGTTCTCGTAGAGGGTGAGAATCTCGAGGGCGTCCAACCCCTCAAAGGCTTTTGCGTGCAGCGAACCCACCCTGTTGTGGTTCACGTTGAGGATCAGCAGTTTGTGCAGCAGTTTCAAGGCGGCCGTCGGCACCTGCTGCAGAGAGTTCTGCGAAAAGTCCAGTTGGGTCAGGCCTTTGCCCACCGAGCTCAGCGCCGTCTCCTCCACCACGGCCAGGGTGCTGTTGTGGATCGTTAGGTGTCGTATGTCCAGCCCGAGAAATACGAATCTGACACAAATATTTCAGCTAATTACAAAATTTATTCAATCTATATCTGATTCTGGAGTAAAAAAATTTGTTTTGTTTGAATATGAAAAAGATGAAAAATAACTTGCTTTTTAAATTATTTAAATATGCCCATATCTTTTTGCCACTAATGATATTATTGTTAGAATTGTTAACTGTTGCAATTTTTAGCTGAGTTGAAACAGATTGGAAAATGTAGTATTCAATTTAAAAACTTGCATTGCAATAGTAATTGGATATAAACTGTCTTAAATTAATTATATTAAAAAAATGAAATAAAATAAGTAAAAGCTGGAAAAAATTAACATACAAATATTTCATTATAAATAATTTTTATAGGTATTGAAAATGTTGTTAAACAGCAATTTTTTTTTATTAAATTACTAAATAAGTTTAAAATTTTAAGCACCCTTTTACATTGAATTGATTGAAAGGAAATAGTTTATCTATTTCAATAATATTAAGAAAATTTTAAAATCATTCGGATATAATTATAACTCTCGGAGAGTGAAACTTGCGGCATCCAACAACATAAAAAATTAAAGAGTTCAAGGGCAAGGGGTTTTTCTTGTGCGTGTCAATACGTGTTGGCAATTAAAATACGCACCCCTGCAGCTTGGGCAGGTTGTTGTGTCGCAGCTTGAGGTAGTAGAGGACGACTTGGCGGCCCTTCAGCACGCCCATGGACTTGGAGATGTGGCTGAGGTCGGTGAACTCGCACAGCAGGTCGAGACCATTCTTCTTGACGTTGCAGATGCAGGGGCTGATCTCGTTGTAGGAGGGGCACTGCGACGGGGCCCCCAGCACCCCCACGCTCAAACACAGCCCCAACCCCAACAGCAGCCACACAGCCACTCGCTCTGCAAATTTCCAATGTTTGTTTTGTTATTTTTTGGCAAAACTTTGTAATCTGCCTGAAATGGCGTGAAACTGTATCTCTGTGTTGACCGGCATCCAATTTACATAATTGCTCCCTCTAATTACATCAAAGGGCTGTGTACGAAATTGAAACGCAGCCAAATTGCTTTCACCCCAAGAAGAGGAAAAAAAATCGGATCTGCTACGCCTCTATTAATATTTTCCCAGCGAGAGGTTTTCCGCGTAATTTGAAAAGCAGCAGAGAAAAAAAAGTTGCAAATAAAAGTTGGACTTTCCTTTAACAATCAGTTATTTCTGCTCAATGAATGATTTCTGTAATCAATTGTTTTTGTGAACTCTCAAAGCCAAAGAGTCAGGTTTTGATTTTGCCACTGGCTGATTGACCGTAACAGAGAAGCAATTTCAATCAAATTTAAATCAATTATTGAGCACTTTGGTATGGGGAGTAGAAAAATATCAAAGAATTTCTGGAAATTTTACTATTTCATTTGAGAGGGTGCTTCAAATTCGTAGAAAGAATTAAGCCCGTGAAACAGTATTGCAAATTAAGAGGGACTAAATAAAATTTGAAAACTATTTATAATAAAAAATGGTCACCGCCGGCAAATAAAGGACAAAAATATAAGATTATAAACTTTTTAAAGATTTAATGCCTATCCTATTGTAATAAAACAGTATTTTTAGTGTCTTTTGTGATAACAAAATGATTTTATATTTAACTTCATTTCAGAAATTTTATTATTAATGATCTTGTACTTATTTTTTTTTTTTTTTTTTTTTTGTGATTCATTTGAATAGACTATGATCCTGCCAAGCTCCATTCGGTGCTTATCGGCTGGAAAGTCTACCAAATTAGCCAGGTGCCGCTGGACTTTATGAAATGCCCCCATTTGGTGCAGGAATTCCAACAACTCGAGGAAACGGCACAAACCTCGAGCAGACAAGTTCGGCGCCTTGCGACACCTCCCGAACATGAGTGACGATACAGAGCACTTTTTGATTTTAAATCTTAGTATGAGTGTTGAAAATATTAATATCAAAATATGCTAATAATTAAATTATATGTTTTTTATTTGATCACCATAATTAAGTAACAGCACTCGATCAAAATCGATTAATAAAAATTATATTCCTAGATTAGTAGATTTAAATAACAGTATTTGAGCCTAAAGTAAAATTCCATAAATCCACAATGGAACTATGTAGATAGTAAACAGTACCACAAAGCCCATGTTTGCGAAACCGAATTGATATTTTCATCAAACGGGGTGGCAGCACGAGGAAAATAAATAAAGTTACGTTTCACCGAGCAAGCAAAATAAACCCCGTTGCAAATATGTCAAGCAAACACCGCCGAGCGACATGATCGAATTTTTTCTCCCTCGCCAGTTAGTTCGCCGCGTGGTATATTTATTATTTATTTGTTGAGAGAAACTCGATTCGGCTCACAAGTGGCTGCAGCGAATCAAATTGATCCGGCGGGGAGCAAAGTTGGTGCAAACTACCACAGCGGCTTCGCAATAATAAACTCGGCAGCACCGCCAGGGTTTCACTTTATTGGCAGTGCCCGAGAACGGCCAGTATGAAATTTCATACTTTATATTAAACCACCACGTCGTGTAATGTGATTTGGAAGAGATAAAGCCGATGTCGGCGGGAGGCCTATCTTTTATACACGCCCGGTTTTATTGTGCTTCCGAGTAAACGCAAATCCTGGCGGACCCAAGCTCGAAATAATACGCAAAAAAAAACTTTGAACACGCTCCATTTCATGTTTCAAAATAAGCTAATGAATCTCTGGAGGATTATTTGATCATGCCAAGCGCGTTTAAAAGAGAACAACTTTTTTCAGCGCCAACACTATGCGTCTGTTATGAAGAGATAAATTTAGCAATGCCAATCCAATTTCACTTGAAATTTGGTAATTAAAAATTATGTGAAGTATTAAAAACACAATTTAATGGAAAGTAAATATTAATAAATTACTTTTCATGTTTTTCCCCCTCTAGTTATTACTGTATATTTAATTACTTTTTGGATCAAAAAGCAATTATTTCATATTATGTTTACGTGGACGTGTTGAAAATTGTTAATGCAATTAAGTTTAAGGTTTTGTTTTTCATTGGAAGGTTCGCAAAATATCTTATTCCAAATCTTTTTTCTGGAACCAATTTTCACAATTAATAAATTGAGAAGTGAAAAATAAGGAGATTATCTTTTTCAATATTAATTTTTGGTTGTACAGCTTTGCTATTTTTTTTTTTTTTTTTTTATGCAAATTTGTTCAGCAAACAATCTTGTTTCAGTGAGATGAGATTTTATACGGCGCAGACAAGGAATTTGCACTGTGGATTAACAATTTGGAATTATGTTCACGTGAAAACTTTGCTTTAAACAAGAAGTTAGGCAACCTGCTGGGATCTGAATCAAAGCAGGTTGCATAAACTTTTGAAGGCATCCAAACAAACAAGCGAGCTGAAAACAAGATTAGGGCCTAAACAAATCCCGCGTAAATTAATCTTGATCAAAATATAAAAACACAAAACGCCATCTTATGGAATTTATTAGAATTGCAGCTGCTCAAAATATAATGTTCTCCTTAAAAACACAATTGAATTATTAAATTTTGACTCACCTGGCGAGCGGCGTGGCTGCTGCCTGGCCATGCTGTTCTAGTCTCTCTCCGCCTCACCACCTCCTCCCCTCGCGGTTGACGTGGTGGTCGTTGGAGTGCTAGCACCGAAACGCACCACCGGCCATGCGCCGGTGTCCGCAACCCTTCACTTCAGTCCCTGCGGGCACACAGAGCAAAGTAGCCGTTTGTACAATTTATTAGCATGGAAAACGCAGCCGGCCGGAAAACTCCGCTTCGGCCCCCATGCACCCCCAACTACTCAATTATTTAAGGACACATGTTGAGAAACGTATCAATCGAAATTTAACGCAACATAGTCTCGCTTTTTCCATATTTTAACCATTATTATAATTATGTCTTTTATTTGAATATTTATCTTGTATTAATTAGACGATACTAAAACAGTACATCATGGTTTGAATAAAAGGCTACCTAAATAATTTTGATATACTATCATTTCAAGAATAAATAATTAAATTATTTTATTAATATTAATACACAAAAAAAATTATTTCCTCCAATAATAATGCATTATTGACACTAATAATATTTGAAAAATAAATTTACTTAAAATATATGAAATATATAAAAGCTTATAAGAGTAAAATGTAACATATATTATAAAAAATAATTGTCATTTTAAATGTTAAAAAAATATTATTAAAATAAACTTATTTCTCTTTTTAAAGTTCTACTTTTTGCCATGAAAAATTTTCATTGTTGTACAAGATGTAGAGAGAATTAAAAATTTCAGCCAGAATGTATTATATTGTAAATGTATTATTTAATTTTTAATTGGGTGCGTCCAGGAAAGATTTGAGGGTAAATGTTAAAAATTTTTCTTGAAAACATGCCATTCCAATTTTCAAGTATGTTGTTGGGGTGGTCAAGAGGCCTCGCTCACCAAATTTTCAAGTCAAAATAAGGAGTGCTTTTCCGGGAAATCAGATTTTTCCAAAAACAAATAATATGAAATATCTTTGCTCCTATTGAGAAATTATTAATGATCTTTTCACTTCCAGACGTAACTTTTTACGCCCGACAACTTTTCTGTTGACAACTTTTGCGTAGGTCAAAGGTCAAGGTCACTAAATTGCAAATTTCACTTTCTGACGCAATTTTCGCAAAGAAGCACCCCTCAGAAATTTTTCGCAGTATAGGAAAAAATGTAGCCCCAAGTGTGTAGAACAAAATTCTTGATTTCCAGAATGGCATTATTTTTAGTTTTTTAATTAATTTTAAATGAATATTAAAAAACAGTGAAAAATCGCTTTTCCGCAATAGAAAGTAATTTTCAAACAGCGATAACTCATTTTCTGTCAGAGATACGCAAAAATGTTATAGAACAAAAAGGATTTGTTTTGACTTTTTGCATCCAGCCATGTACTGTTTATACAGGTCAGGTCACTTGGGGTCATTGACCTCGGTGACCTGTGACCTTTAAGAGCAGTTTACTGAATATTTGGTACATAGTTAGGAAGAACTATTTTATGGAATGGTTTTAATAAGCTCATTTTCCACAAATTATTTTTTGAGGTCACATGTCACCGAGGTCAATGACCCCAAGTGACCTGACCTGTATAAACAGTACATGGCTGGATGCAAAAAGTCAAAACAAATCCTTTTTGTTCTATAACATTTTTGCGTATCTCTGACAGAAAATGAGTTATCGCTGTTTGAAAATTACTTTCTATTGCGGAAAAGCGATTTTTCACTGTTTTTTAATATTCATTTAAAATTAATTAAAAAACTAAAAATAATGCCATTCTGGAAATCAAGAATTTTGTTCTACACACTTGGGGCTACATTTTTTCCTATACTGCGAAAAATTTCTGAGGGGTGCTTCTTTGCGAAAATTGCGTCAGAAAGTGAAATTTGCAATTTAGTGACCTTGACCTTTGACCTACGCAAAAGTTGTCAACAGAAAAGTTGTCGGGCGTAAAAAGTTACGTCTGGAAGTGAAAAGATCATTAATAATTTCTCAATAGGAGCAAAGATATTTCATATTTTTTGTTTTTGGAAAAATCTGATTTCCCGGAAAAGCACTCCTTATTTTGACTTGAAAATTTGGTGAGCGAGGCCTCTTGACCACCCCAACAACATACTTGAAAATTGGAATGGCATGTTTTCAAGAAAAATTTTTAACATTTACCCTCAAATCTTTCCTGGACGCACCCAATTATTAAAATTAAAAAAATATCCATCAGAAAGAACCTTAATTTTTAGACAACCCCTGTGTTTGTTTGTCTGCAATCTACTGCAAATCAGTTTGTTCTCATTACTGGATCCGAGTGAGTTCTGATTATTGAAGCGAGAGAATAATTATTGCAATCAGCCCTTGAGAAAATTGCTGCGAGCAGACAACCGGGCAGATAAAAGCAGAGATGAATTAGCATGCGTTAAAGCGAGTGCGCCGAATGAATAATTTATGTTTGACTGAGCAAGAGAGAGAGGCGCTGCCGGCGAATTTTCGCCCTTCGCTGTGTGAAAGCAATTTGTACACATTTATATATATATAAATATGGCATTGCGATCCTTTTGCTCTACGTTTTGCCCTCGCGTTTCGCGGCCACGTGCCCAAAGGCCTTTCCCAGTCGTGTCTGAAATTCGGACGGCTTGCGTGCGCTGCTAAATATTAGAAACAAATTGGCCCTGCCGCGTACAATATCCCTTTTGCGAGGCCCATTTTCATCCCTACGGCTCTCCTTTATCATGCGTTTTGTCGTTCAGCATCTTTTTATGGGCTGCAAATTGGTGGACGTGACTGGGTTTCCAGTGAGCTCTGGACAAAAAAAATATCTCAGTCTAGAAATCGAAGAATAATTTTTTCAACATTTCTCCGAGGGAAAATTTGATTTCGAGTGGCGTTTCGATCAATTTCCTGCAAGCCTTGCACAGCACGTCATGTATATTTTTCCTCATTTTATATTTGTGCCTCCGTCGGCACGTCACCTCAAGACGAATCACACTGGAGAATTATTACCATTCGCTCTGGCAAGGCATTTCTATAAAGCACTTCTTGTTGGTGCGCGTTCTGCACTGATACAAAGCTCGGTCGATTGATTTTCTTCCTGCGCAGGGATGTGATCTGTTTCCAGGCTTTAATAAAATCAGACCTGAGTGAGTCGGATATTGAAAGAAGAAAAAAATATAGAGTTTTACAAGATCTGCTAGGAGCTGTCTTAATTTTTTTTAATAAATATTTTAATCTAATTAATCATTAATTATGTTTTGTAGGCGTGTTTTATACCAATTATATTATGAAAATTAAATTTTCAGACTCTTTGGGTTATTTGTAGATGTATTTGGACCAGAAAATCAATTAATTTATAAATTTATAATTATTCAAATTTCTTCCTAAAAATAAATTCCCATGGCGGTGGTAAAAGTATTAACAAAATTTTTTGGTTCAGTTAATATTACAACTGAAACACAACAAGTTATCCCCCAACAAAACCACGCTGTTTTCTATTAATTACCATATTTTATTTCCTAATCATACCTCCCAGTTTCCAATTAGCTTCAAAGAAACCGTTCACCTCAAAATTTATAGTCGAAATTTAAACATACATATAAATAATGCAAGATGATACCGTGAGAAACGCAAATTGTAATTTCAATTAATCTCAAGCTTACAATGCGAGACTTCCTTAAAGCATGTTAGACTACAAATTGCAGGTTTGCTTTGGGGCTGACTTCTGACACCTGACATTTAATTTAGGCGCCGTACTCAAGTGCAGATGCTGAACACCAGCCTAATTATTTACATATGCGCGTCGAGGCCAAATTGCAACTGAGCGGTTGACGAAATGTATAGAGTGAGTCAAAGTCGTCACGCGCTTAAATATTCATGGGCGCATTACGCCCCCCGCCACCGCCATACAGAGATATAAACATAGACACGCGTTACGTCAAATGTGGGATCGATGACGTATGGAATGAATACAGGAAGAGATCCATTCAGACGCTTGATTGACCCCAATCTCGCGCTTGATTTCATGCGCCCCAGTCCACCGTGGCCTCTGCCAACCGCTTTTTAATGTTGCACCCGGCGGGCCCAAAAACGTTCCTCCAATTTGCGTACGGAATTCCGTAAGGCGGAATGAAAAGTTTTTATTGAGGGGAAAAGGAAAGATTAGTGAGCGAGGCCCCATTTTTTTGCGCCTCGTTTGAACATCAGGCCACACACGCGACGATCGAAGAGAGACTAATTTGTTGCATTATCAAAGGAAATTTATTTTAGAGGGAAGTTTTAAAGCGATTCTGCTACTTTTAAAATAAACAATCAGCAGTTTAATTCTTAGTAATTAATATGACACTTGGGATAAAAATGATGCAATGAAGTTTGTTTGCTATAAGTTGTAGAAATTTTATAATTAAATGTTTGACTGAATAAGGAACTGCCAATTATTTCATATTCGAAGAACTGTCGCAGAGAAGGAGCACACTTGCGCATTGTTTAGTATCTTTTAAAAGTATGTCAACAGATTAGTTTATATATTTGTATTTCAAAAAATTAAAACATTTTATTAAAATATAATACTTATTGTAAATCAAATAACATTGTGTAAAAAAGTTTAAAAAATTTATATGATTCTATTTAAATGTTTAAATGAACAATATTTAAAAAAATTTAAATAAATATTATTTTAAATTAAAATCTAACTTCAGGCTTTTTTAAGTTATTTAGCTGGAATTTTCCTCAGGCTAAGATTCAGATTGCAATCAAGTGGCTGTTTATTGACTTTGCCGGTGCATCTTTTTTTTTAATCCAACAGTCTTTAAGTGCGCTGCCAAGTTGATCGCAAAGTGATTCGCAGGTCGGCGCAATCTGACCTTTGAAAAATGCAAACATCACCCGGTTGAGGAAATAAATTTCTCAGTGCGGTGGCGTAATGCAAAATCCCACGGGGATGTAAAAAGAAGGCGGCCGTGAAATAAATTTTCTAAGCAGCCACCGCGTCGAGGAGAAAAAAGAAAACCAACTAACCATGCCCGTGTGTTGTTATGAAGACATGAAAATGGGAAGAGAGCACGGCGTCGCAATCCACTCTGCGCACGTTTTTTTTCACCCATCAAGCGGCCGGCTTTTTTATCCTGGAAATTGTCTCGCACACAATTTCACGGGGTTCTCTTTTTTTATCCCTTTCAAAGCAG